CGGGGGAAGCGGAAACCTTTCGGGGCAGATCCGGGGAAGCGCTTCCGCCTTCGGCTCCCCCCAGCAGGCGGAAAAGGCGCGTCATTTCGACCATTTTGAAGAACGCGCGGCTTATGGCGCGCGGGGCGGCGGAGGCGTGAGGGAACGCGCTTATGGGTTGGGGGGAAGCGCTTGAGGGTTGCGGGGAAGCGCAACTGGGTTGGGGGGAGGTGGAGATGGGGAAGGGCAAGATTCCAGAGGCCAACGCGGAGGTCGATGCTGCCGCAACGGGGTTGGGGTTTAGCGATGCCACGTCAGCAAGGAGCTCGTACGGGTTGGCGCACTGCGCGGCGAGCGACCAAAGGTCCAACCCCTGCCGGCACGGGGGGACGGGGGAGAGAGAACGGGGGGGAAAGAACGGAGCGGATGGAGGAGCGGGGGGCGGATGGGAAAGGGGAGGAGGGGGGCATTGGGCGGGGGCGGGGAAGAAGCGGAGTGAGTGCATAGAGGTGGAAGGACGGGATGGGAGAGACAACGTGCTAAGTATTCGCGCTAACTGGATCAAGCTGAATAGTTTGAAACTATTCACGCATGGAGCATTGCTCAAACTAGAGTGGTTTGTCTGCTTGCATTCACGGCTTTAATCATTCACGGCTTAAATCATTCACACCCTCCAACCATTCACGACTTTAACCATTCACGGCTTTAACCATTCACGCCCTCGAACCATTCACGGCCCAAACCCCGTTCGTACCTCGCGAGTCGTGAATGCCGTGACCTCGTATTTGCGTTCCAACAGCGAATCCCGCGCTTCAAGCAGCCAGTCGCGTGACCGCATGATCCAATCACTGTCGGGATCTGACACGCTGGCGAGATCCTCATTGGCCGGATTTTCTGCCACGTCAACAGCAAAGCTAGCGGCAAGATCCTTACAGGCGCTTCGAGCGGATGGTATGGGAACAGAATCTGAGGCTCCCGCCAGATCAGCTGCCGAAAGCCGAGTCGCGAGAATGTCCTCCAACCCCCTAGCCGTTAACTCTAGCAGACGGCCATCAGGGGGTAGGCTGGTCGCAAACACGTTCTCCGTCGGCAGGGAGACGGCGAAACAGCCCAAGCCGTCAAAATCATCAAGATCGTGATTCTCTTCGAGGAAGCAACGAGCGGGATCCGAAGATCCTTCCAAACACAAGCCGATAGGAATAGAAGGCCCCTTCAAAAAAGAGCCGATTGGATCTGAAGATCCCGTGGGATTTGAAGACTCGTTGGGATCTGAAGCGAGGGCGGCGTTTGTAACTCGCGAGCAGAGCTGCTCCAATCTGTCGCGACTCGCATGGTGGCTGGGCATGGCGAATGCAAGACGGCAGGGAACGACGGTGAGAGTAGCGCGCGGTGCTTGCGGATCGAGTAGGGCCTGGTCCAGGCATGTCATCTTGCCTTGGTGAGAATAATCTGGTCGATCAGAAGAGAGGGGGGAAACTAGTGAGGATTTGTGAGGAGTGGGAAGAAGAGCAAGTGAAGTTGGTAGCTGGAGCATGCACCAATACCTGTTTGATACATTGTTTTGCGACATGTTCATTGGCTTTTCGAGCTTTTGGGCGGACGCAAGAGAGGATCCAGCTGTTCATCTATACCTGTATTTTACAAAGAAACGTTCCATCGACGGTCCCAAGAAGAGTGATGCTGTACACATGATGCCCAGCCAGTGCACGCGAATTTGCCCTGCACCGGATGGAAACGCTGCACCCGAGGTCCTTTCCCCAGCCTGTTGCACCCACGATACAAGCACGTCGCGTGGTTATGGACCAATAGTAACGAACAGACTGAAGTCAAACTGAAAAGACTGAAGTCAAAATGTCAACGAATAATGTTACAGATACTTAATATAAGCACCTGCGATCCTTTTTAGCTAGCTGCGAATTGACGAAACTTATGCGAAACAAACGATACAGCTTATACGCCCCCTTCACAATGCGACCGGGAGGGGCTCAAACAGGCATCAATTGTACTGTACAAAGAAAGCGAGTTCGGTGAATCTGTGATCTTTCCAATTTTGGCATTCCACTCCACAGTTCCTGGCACGCCTTTCCACGTCACAGTGCCGTGTAGATTGCAGGGATTGGTCGATGTATTTTTCTGAAGGCGTGGAAGCCGAACTTGCTGACGACGACGGCAGTCAGATTATTGTCAGCTCACCCTCGCAACTGACAGCTGCCTTCATAGTCAGACCCCGTAAGCGGATCATACAAATGTCATGTGTTGCTAGAAAATGCTATACTCTAAATAACGTTCTATAGGGAAGCTGCCTACATCTCTTCAACCGGAAAACTACGTCCAACTCGTACGCTTTAGAAAGCGACGTAGCAATGACCTGTTCCCATGCTTGCAATCTATGGGGCCAACATGTTCGCGAGTGGGCACATTAGGCCAACCGAATCGCCCCTAGTGCGCTTCGACGTCATCCAATGGCCACTATCGGGGCAACCGTTGTGGACTTCGCTTCGCTCGTGAGAATTTGGAATTTCGCCAGCGAATTTCCCTCTTCCGAATGGCGCCACGAATTTCACCTGACCAGCACAGCCCATCGTCCCTCACGCAAATCGTCATGTCGCTGCGCCACATTGCAGCAAACTCCCCACAGGAGGGTTCCCTCTGTGACCCTGTCACACTCTCCCTGGCACAGCTACTGACTGATGCCCCTCACGTAACAAGAGACCTACAGACATGTCCTAGTTCCACACCATATATAGTACAGCCGAAGCACTCGTTTCTACATCCATTCTAAACTCCAGTCCAGTGCCTTCTAGCGTGGATCACTTTCCCGATCTACATATAGCAGCCCTGCACCTAGCTCCTCTCCGCACCACGTTAGTCTCTATCGCTCTGCTCGTCTCTGGAGTCCGCGCGATTCCCTCAAGCAGATAAAGAGAATCACCATGGCTCACAAAGCGGTATCCCTCCTCGTTCTCTGCGTGCTTGCTAGCGCGACCATCGCTCACGGCGCTCGGCCAATCATCCCCACGACTCTTAGCGCAGAAACCGCATCGCAGAGACAATCCCCCTTCTCCGCGTCGAGCCTCTTCCGCTTGGCCATGGCCGCCTGGAACGATGGCGCTCAAGGCGCCATCCTCCCATCCGCTTCCGAATCCAACGACTCCCAAGGTGAGCACTCGACTCATCAAGCGCCGACTGGGAAAGCTTATCACACCCCCGCCATTGTTCAATCACCCGCCATTGTCGTTCCGTTCGCCGTTGGGTTGATTGCAATCTTGCCGCACACTTTGGACTCCTCCCGCAAGTGACTCAGCTGAGTTGTTTCTGAGTTCGCCTGGCACCCTGCTTTTCCCTACTGCGAGTCACACATCCAATCCCCATCGCGCATCCACTCTCATCGCATATCGCACACCCATTCAACCCTTTTCCACGAATACTCCCATTCCCGTCTCACCCAGCTCGCGAGCCAACGAGCTCCACTGTCGTCGTTGCGCCCGAAGTCGCGCCGTTCGAGGAGGACGTGGATCCCGCTGCTGCTGACGTGGCGGTGTCGCTCCCCGGATCCGACAACCTGATCATCTCCCGTGTGCATGTGAAGCCGGCGAAGATCGCCGAACCCGCTGACGACACGGACGACAATGACGACAATGGCGACGACATGATCGTCGAAGACGACGACAACGAAGATGATGACAACGAGGACGACGATGACGACGACGTCTTTTCGCGACTGATCGCCAACGAAGAGAACGAGGAGGCCAGTCTCACGTCCGTCTCTCTGCCTGGTTCTGACAACGTCATCGCGGCGATCCACAAGCCCCGGAGCCATGTGGCTTCCAAGCCTAGGAGCAGCTTCAGCGTGTCGCTCCCTGGCTCCGACAACGAGATCGTCGCGTTCGGCGTTCCTGCGACGCTGGCGACTCGCAGCGTCGTCGTCGTCGCCAACGATGCGGAAGTTGCGGACGAGAAGGTGACGAAGGACGAGGAGAATTCCACCTTCCACGTGTCGCTTCCTGGTTCGGACAACGAGATCTGGGCCCGCAACGTGCCCCACAGAAAGAGCAACGTTGTGGCGATTACCGACGACTCCGACCGCGATTCCACCACCACCGCTACTGCCACTGCCACCACTGCTTCCGCCACGCTTTCCCGCAAGTCTGACTCGATTTCCTCTGCTGACGACAACACGGCATCCGTGTCGCTCCCTGGTTCCGACAATGTGATTCAGGCGTTCAACATTCGTGGAAATAAGAAAAAGGTCACCTCATTTCAGATGTCACTTCCGGGTTCCGATAATGTTATTACCGCGTACGGCGTGCCCGAGAGGAAGGGGCTGACCGTTGTCGCCACGGAGACCCCGGAAGTAGCAAAGCCTGCTGCCACAGAAACGACGGCAACTGTTAACGAGGTCGCAGAGGTGAATGCGACTACGGACGATGTCTTCACGGTGTCGCTCCCTGGGTCCGACAACGTAATCGCTGCACTGCACGTTCCCCATAAGCGCAAATTCGTTGTTGCGCAAGCGTAACTTTACCAAAGCAAGCGCAAATAATGGGGCAAGCTCAGCCCCTTCCAAATAATAGCTGGCTTTTCTATCACGTCCCTTGTTTCCATATACGGTATACTAAGCAATCATTAGCTTCCTGTTTCCATCCAACACTTCAGCTCTACCCTGTATCACACTAACCTATGTGAATGAGAAGTCTTACTTATGGGCTGTAAGAACACTTGAGGGATGACTATCTGAGCTACCAGTAAGCTCTTATACATGCCCTACTCCCTGATAATTCGGCCAGAACGCCGCTTATAACGTATACCAGCCCAGTCTATGTACGGTACCCAGCTGGTCAGCATGACACAAAAGGGGTACATGCTGTTGTGTATAAGGTACCCAACCCACACACGCCACAGCGCATACTGCCGCTCTCTGCAGCCACATTTCCCTCGATCAACCACCGCTATTGCTGCACGAGCTCGGCAAAAGGGAGCCTGAGGGTCAAGAAAGAGGCAGGTCTGAATATGCGCAGCAATCATTGCACGGAGGGCGAGAGAGGCGAGGGCAAACGAAGCAAGGTGAAGCTGTGCGAGTGAGAAGCCTAGAGGGAGATAGGAGAGATGGGTGAGAGCATGGTGAAGGAGTGAGGGAAGGAGGGGTAGGAGGAGAGCAGGCTGCTTCAAGTAAACTCCAAGTGTGTTGCTGTTGAATGCGGTGAGTGGTGGTGGTGGTGCTGATGCTGCTTCTGGCAACGGGGCAGCTGTTGGTGAGATTCCGCCACTCAGGATGCTGCATGTTGCATTAGCTTGAGCTAAGGCAGCATCACCAAGGCATGCATCACTGGCAGCACCCCCCGTTCCTCCTGCTGCTGCCACTCCTGCTGCTCCTCCTCCTGCTGCTGCCGTTCCTGCAGCAGCTACGCCATTCTGCGACGCAGCTATAACGGAAGCACTGAACGGCAGCACACGGCAAACCACACCGACCACAGGAACCTCACACACAGGAGCAGCAGCCCCAAACGACCCAACCATCTGGAAAACCCACGCAGCAGAACCGGCCACGCAAGGCAGCAAATACTGCACCAGGAACGAGAGCGAGACGGCCATCGACCCAACCATGACAGAGCTAAAGGCCATGCCCATGAGCAGCAGCCAGAGGTTGAGGCGGCGGTTGAGTGGGGAGAAGTACGTGGTGAGTGCGAACAGCTGCCGCCGCAGGTAGCTCCAGAACTGAAGGGCGGAGAAGTGGGCGTCTAGGGGGTGTGCCAGGAGCGCGTAGGCTGGCGATAGCATTGGCGGGTCGCTGCTACCGGGGGTGCTGGGGTTGCTGGGGGTGCTGGGGCTGTTGGGTTCGAGGCGGCTTAGCCTGAGACGCTGTGCACAATCCAAGGCCCTGCAGGGAAGGCTGCTACCGCGCTGCTGCTGCTCCCGCTTCTCACATTCCTGAGCAATCAGCTGGGATGATTCCTCTTGGCACGCCTTGCTGCTGCTCTTCCTGTCTATGCTGCTCCTATTGTTGCTCCCATTGCTGCTCTTGCTGCTGCTCTTACTGCCACCGTTGCTGCTCTCGCTGTTGCCGCTGCTGCTCTTGATGCTGCTCCGAATGCTGTTGCCCACTGCCCCCAGCGTCATGTCATCCGAGTACCCTCCCTGCCGAAGCACATCCACCATGCCGAGCCTGTTGCTTCGGAAATCCCCCAGCCTGAGCATCATGCACCCGCCCCAGATATACTCCGTGCCGGCATCATAGGAAAAATTAACCAAAGGGACCAGATGAAACCCTAACACCGCGTACGAAAACAGCGACCCCGGGTTCGGAATGTCAAACGGGTACCCGGTTACAAGGAACGTGTCGGGTCGGCAAAGCATGTCTGTTACGAGGTAGGTGATCGCCTCTGGGTACATTCTCGCGTCGTCGTCCAGGAAAAGGACAAACTCTGCTTCCGGGTGGGTGGCAGTGACGCCGGCCAGCTGGTTGTGGATCTTTTGGCTGCATGTGGTGGAGGTGCCAGCTACCACCACGCGAACCTTCCTCAGATACACCCTCCCCTGCTGCCTGCACGCAATGCCGCTTTTGTTTGTGGTCTCCCCTCCACATACCACCTCCCCTCCACATACCACCTCCCCTCCACATACCGCCCCCCCTGCGCTCATAGATTCCCTCCCCTGCCCTCCGCCCGCCCCCACCTGCCCTCCGCCTACGCTCCCGTGCCCCCTGCCTTCCTCCTTTTGCACCCTCCCTCCCTCCCCCTGCACCCCTCCTTCCCTCCCCACTTTATGCGCAGCGTTGAATCGCGCTGCGAGCTTGCACGCCTCGCGGTACGCGAGGTCCGCCTCGCTCTCCACGACTATGAGAAACTCCACGGGGCCCGCGTAATCCGCCGTGATGTGCGTCGCCCAGTTGCTCGCCGTGTGCGCGTGAAAGCCGCGCACGGGCATCACCACCGCCACCGCCGGCCAATGCGGACAGCGCGAGCTCTCCGCATTTCCCGTCATGTTACCACTTGAAGTAATCACTCCGGCACGCGGATTGTTATCGCAATTGCCATCGTCAGTAGAGATGGTACCCCCGCCTGGTTGCTGCGCGCCGCGCTTTCGCTTCGCGCGTTGAGGATGCTTTTCGGCGGACGCGCGGCGACGCGAGCGGAGGCGATCGAGGGATTTGCGTCGATTGCGGGCGGCGACGGACCAGCCGTACGTGTGGAGGAGGAGCAGCAGCACGCCCGCCACCTGCAAGCCGTGCAGGAGCGCGACGACCAAGCCCATTCAGGTGACTTTTCAGGTGCCTTTTGAGTCGACTCAAAAGTCACCAGCCGTACGTGTGGAGGAGACGTCTCAAACCAGCAGCACGCCCGCCACCTGCACGCCGTGCAGAAGCGCGACGACCAAGCCCATTCACGCGATCACGCCTGACGTCCGGCCACGTCTGATGTCCTACTGAGATCAACTTACAACTTGAAGTCGCCAGGGAAATTCTAGAACCTGTCGAGCAGCTTGAATAGAACTGGTCGAAACGGTCGGAACACTCGCCGTTCGAACCTGATCGAACCTCTCGAACCTGCCGAACCAGTCAAACGGGTCGAACCTCGAACCTTTCAGTTTATTAAAATTAACTGTTCGAGTCGATCCTCTTGACCCCGTCAAACCAGTCGAACCGCTCTAGAACTTGTCAACTTGTCGATTTACTTCAGACCATGCGCAATCGTGGAACGCCAGACGCGCGCCCAGAAGGCTACCAGAAGAAATCGAGAGCCAATGCTAGTGGCGGGAATCAGACGGTGCATCAGTCAGAATCCGTAGTCAAAGACGCGGAAATCCACCAAACCTACTTTTGAAACGACTGTGAATATCCCTTGGCTTGAATTGGTCTAAAACGTAGCATGTTTCCTCCTAGAGCTTTTGTGAAAGCGCAAGAGTAGTCTAGCAATGGGCACGAAGCTGGGAAAGTCGCACAGAGAAAGCAGACTGTGATCATGCTGAGCTGGTTGGGGAGAGAAGACTGATGACGTGCAGAAGGCAGGCAGCCATGGCCATGTCCCGCGCCGCACTGACAAGCTTCTGACAAGATCTGTTTGCGGCCCTGTTCGATAGCACTTTTTCAAGGGTACTGAAAACGCATTTCGCCCAGCGTCGCAAAAATCGGAAAGCAGTCGCTTGTTACGAAGTCGGGAGTTTGTATTGTAACCACCTGAGATGTTTTCTGACAGGAGACAAAGTGGGATTTTGGCTCGGGGATTGGTTCGACGCTCAAAAATCGTGTGCGAGCCCCCTGGGTTGGTTCGATTTCCCAAGCAAAGCAGCAAACCCGCCAATCATGATTCACGACGTGGACATCCATTTCCCAGACAGTGTTACCCAAACCAGCATTCATTTGCCTCGGAAGTAGAAATCAGTAGAGTATCTGGATTTTTTGGAGCGAACAACATTATTTGTTTTTGTGACCGTGCATGCTTTTGCTGAAATTTTCGAGGGTGCGCCTCTTAGTCGGGCAGTCCGTCGCCAAGGCAAACTAGCGAATGCATGGCGGGAACCGCTGACGGTGAAGCCAGCGCGGAAGGAATTTCTGATTGTGGGTAAGGGTGCGTCAGATCCGTTGTCGGAAAAATCCGGCCGGCCGGAATTAGCCGAAGTAACAATTTTGCTACACTCGCAACATTTGTCGTCGACTTCGCCAGATCCGGCCATTTCTAAAAAAAATGATGGCCGGTTCAGCATTCTACAAAGTTCCGTCGTGCAGTCGACTTGAAAGTCGGGAAAATATCATATTGGGGCTGAGCAGTGCCAGAGAGGTGATCAAAGTAGGGCCGGTAAATGTCGACCGTAGGATTTCAACCCGGGAGCTGACCAAACGACTCGGCGAACAAGCCGAACCATAAGTACAAGACAATTGCTAAAAAAAACCGAGTTTCGTGTTCATTTTCATTATTAAGGGTTTTTACCACCTTCTACGACAACGCGTGCGTCGCCTTCTTTGGAAATTATTTTCGGCGTCTCAAATCGTGAGTACGTAACATCATAATATATTCTGGGTGATACATATCACCTACCTGATCGGAAACACACAGGAGAAAAAAATATTACCCATTCGGAAACGGATGCAACTCGGGAGGCATAAACCCTAAATACCATGAAGGTCCCCTTTTTTAGGGTTGATCCATCCCGAAATTACATCCAGGTTCCCTATGAGTTTTAGTTTGTTTTGGCTGCCCAAGAGTTCCCCGTAGAGTCAGCTCACTAAACGACACGCGAGCGAAAATGCGAGCCGGTACATGCCACTATAGCAGAATTACGCGCAAAAAACAAAGACCCTTATGTTAATCCCTCCTCGCGCAGCGGTTTGGTAAGTTCCGGGCCTCTTGGCCCCTGATCGATCACCCCTCTGGCACTGTTCGGCCCCTGTATGATCTTTTCCCTTGAAAGTCGACCAAATTGTCGACCTGGTATCGCTACAGTCACTTTGCGACGTCGCCAGCTCGTGCGACGCAACGTGTCACACAAGTACTGCATCTGCGACTTCGTCGCACAATCCGGCCTCCTTGGCGAACTGAAAATCTGACACATTTGCAAAGCGGCCTGCAAATCGGCCACCAAATGTGTCAGATTTTTGGGCCCTGTAAATGTGGCCAGATATTGGTCGCTTTTGAAGTCGACCATGTTGTCGACTTCGGCGAAAGATATTGTCGACCAAATTCCAGCCTAATCACCTTGTAACGGATCTGACGCGAGCATCGGCTCGGCTGTATGTGCTCTGGGATGTGGACTAAAATTCCAGATATTCCCTGAGCTCGAGAGTCAAGCATTAGACTAGTTCCAGTCGTATCTTCTGAGTCGCGAACTTTCTTCGTTTCCACTTGGAATCCACTGACTCAGAAGTGACGGGACTCTCTGTCTGTGAAGGTGGAACCTGAGGGACGGCGGATTTCAAAAGGTGCTGGTATGACGGACACCACAAAGTTGACGACGTGTGTTAGCAGATTCCCGTTTCGCACGTTGCTTCCGTTTCTTGTCAATCCACGGCGGAAGGGAGAAATTTGGTGAGTTGTCAAAGCCCGTTGGCAGTTATCATTGCTCTCACTTTCTTTGTTGTAACTTCGAGGCGCGCTCCTGGGCGCGTTATACAAACAACGCGTACATAAAAATGGGTACCAGGCTTGTTACGATTGGCAGCCAGGGGTAACACCAATGGGGTTCTCCCCCCACTTTACCTTGACCTTTACCACTTCCAGCAAATCGCCAGCCATCCCATGCCACGTAGATCGGTGCTGCTGACGCTGAAGCAGCAGCGCGGTAGCTCTCCTTGCCAAACGTGCCTTGCCTTGCCTCACTGGCCGCCGCATGATGCGATGTGATTTTCGGGTGACATCGAAAAGAGTAACTTCCGACGAAAGCGTGCTCTGCCTTTGTCTGAGCTCATTTCCGACACAGCGACCTAGTACTAAACTTGGTGCTCTCATTGCTTGCTTGCCAGTGTCATCATCATCACCCTAAGCCTCCATAACTCTCGGGGCTAGCATCGTCCTTCATATCATTCCATCACTTCTATCATTGATCCATCTCCTCCCGTGTACTGTCGCTTAGACTCAACGCATTCAAGATGTCGATCCACTCTCTTCGACGTACTGCTAACCATCGCGCTACTCTCGCTAGCGTCAACGGTTGCGGCGTACGAGAACTCGGGGGAGACACGATTGCGCGCGGTTGAAAAGGCGTTGTGGGAAAAAAACTACAGAAACTACTTTGCGCTCATGAGGTCAAGCAGTAAGTGACACGTCAAGTCGAATGCGAGACCTGTGCTCGCTGTGTATTGAAAAGCAGTGAGTGTCAGGACAGGTCGAGAGCAACACCAGCACTCGACAGCAAGTCGGCTCGACCTAAAGAACTACGCTTAAGCTGCCGGCTCCGAAAATATTACTTCTGGGTCCACTCACCACTTTGCTCGAATAACCATGTCAATCCTGCATCATGCAGGATGATGATCTGTCTGCCAGCATCATCTGTGAAGAAATAAGGAATGAATGAACTAGCAAGCAGGCGGGTACAAGTAGGAAAACCTATAAGTGTTGTACCCCATATTGTCTACCCCACTACAGCCTACACATACTATAGCATAAGAGTTTAACACACCCCCATAGGCAAAGTGGGGGAGAACAAGAGGTCACAAGACCAGTCAAGCAAAGCAAAGCAAGCTCAGGGTGGATCACAACGTCACCACACAGTCCAAGCACAAGAGCAAGGCCACAAGGCCAGTTCACATGCAAGATCATATATAAAGGTAAACAAGCAAGTGCAGGTATAGAAAGATCACAGTACAAGCAAGGTCAAGAAGTGAGCAAGTGAGGCCAAGTAGGCACAGGACCTAGCATCGTACAGAAGCGCTGATGATCACAAGGCGGAAGTGCCTTGGTAAAGATATCAGCAGTGTTGGCCTCAGAGGCCACGTACGCAAGGCGCAGCTGACCACGCTGCTGCAGCTCACGAGCAAGGAAGTAGCGGAGAGCAATGTGCTTCGTTCTGTGCTCCAGTCTGTGCTCCCGACACAAGGCCAGCATGGCCTTGTTGTCTACGTACAGAACTGGAGGAGAACGAGGCGGCTCTCCTAGGTCAGTCAGCAGGTAGGTGAGCCAGCGTAGCTCCTGTGCAGCCATGGCCCCCGCGTAGATCTCAGCCTCACAGCTGGAGCCGAGAACAGAAGACGAGCGGGTAGACCGCCACGAAACAGAGCCGGAGCCAAGGCTGAAGGTGTAACCCTGTGACGACCACTGCGTAGCCTGGTCGTCAGCCCAAGAAGCGTCTGCGTGACCTGTGAGGACCACTCGTCGTCGCCCTCCAAGCACTAGCCCCATGCCCGACGTACTGCACAAGTAGCGCAACACCCTCTTCGCTGCAGCCATGTGCTCTGGTCGGTGTCTCCTAGGAGCAACATAGCGTGCCAAGATGCTAAGAGGGTATGCAAGGTCAGGTCGTGTGCAGGTCATCAGGTACATGAGGCAGCCAAC